AATTAAATACTCCAAACATTAAGTGAAGTAATTCACAAAGTACAGATAACTGTGCATACAGGGGGAAAACATACTGTCAGTCCCATCAGAGTATGATGATGCACAAAGAGGTTTGGGGGTTGGTTTGGATACCTAACCATTCATTCACCACATTTTCCCACAGTATAATCTTGATCATGTGTACTTTGGATATATTATACCTATTTTATGTTGGAGGGAAATGATGTCAGATGCAGAGGATGGAAATGACTAAAGCTGAGAACAAGCTCACAAGGCTAGTATCACTAACATCATGCAGGGATTGCTTCCTTGAAGGCTTTAGAACTATTTCTTTTTCTAGAAGACTACATTCCTTCCTCTCAGACTCTCCATCAAATGCAATGATTGAGACTTTCAAGCTCTGTATGCATACTGTGGTACTTAGCCCAAAGGGTCCACTATGAAGCTGAACTTCTCTGAAGCGGCATATGTATTGGAGATCCTGCACAGTATAAGATCTTGATAAAGCAGACCCTCATGACTGTGAAGGGAGGAAAACTGCACATGACAAGAACCATGTCTTTAAAAGCTGTGTTTGCCAGGCATGGTGGCACAAGCTTGGGTGGCTGAGACAAGAGGATCATGTGTTCAAAATGAGCCTGAGCAAAAAGCGAGTTGCTAAGCAACTCAGTGTGACCCTTCCTCTAAATAAAATATAAAATAGGCCTGGGGGTGTGGCTCAATCATCAGGTGCCCCTGAAATCAATCTCTGTACAAAAAAAAAAAAAAAAAAAAAAAAAAAAACCTGTGTATTTTTAACTATTTTATCTAATCGAACATCCTTGTGATATTATGAAAATGTATCACTAAGCTTAGCCAACCTCTTCCCTACATCAATCTTAAAGCTACAAATTTTACAAGATAATTTCTGAAAACTATAAAGCAGGTCTCCTTGCCTGCCTACATAAGGATTCCAGTGAAGAATTTGGTAAACCTAGATTCATGGTCTTTGTTCCATGGGCATAAAAGTTCATCAAAGCACTTCCATGGTGGAACATGTTATGAACAGTAACATGAATCTGTGTATTATCAAGGCCATGATAAAACTAATTTCTTAGTTTGCCTCAGAATAAAATAATTTCTTATTTGCCTAATAGCTACGTTATCATTTTATGTCACCACTTTGTCAATATTTCTCTTGTGAAACAATGAGGAGCCCTATGTAGTGAGGACTGGCTTGGGACACCTGCCTGGATGATAACAGCACAAGCATGAGTTGCCACAGTCCAGTAGCAAAGCCGATGGACATTATAACCCAGTATAGGTCAGGATATGCACATAGGGAGCAACTCTCCTGGAGCTGGCTACTGTTTGCAAATTTGGGGATGAAGGTACTCCAGAGGGAACCTGCAACCTTCACTCTCTACTTGCCTTCTCGCACATGCTATGATTCCCAGTTGGCACTGGCCCTGAGATGGAAACTCCTCCTGGGGTCGCCTCCAACAGGAGGGGAGGAATAGGATGCAGAGAACTTCAGACACTGGGATTGCAGATTAGCTGGAATGTACCCTTTCTTTTTTCCTTAGTGCATGATACTTACACGTAATGCTGTGATGTTATAAGGCAGTCACACATGCACAAAGTAGAACACTATAACTTTGCCATTACCCTCCCAGCATCTCTTCTTTTTCCTTATTCTTCCCTCCTCCTTGTGCCTGGTCCCTTCCTCTACTGATCTCCCTCTGATTGTCATAAGAGCTCCCTCTATACATTTCCTTTCTTTGTAGCTTCCACACATGAGGGAAAACATGAACCTTGACTTTCTGAGTTGACTTTTTTCACTTCATATATATTCTCCTGTTCCATACATTCTCCTGTAAATAACAATTTCATTCTTCTTTATGACTGAATGAGCTTCTACTGTGGATTTACCCCTCATTTTCTTATCCATACATCTACTGGTACACATGGAGGCCAGTTCCATATTTTAAGTTGTGCTCCTTTAAATCTGGCCATGCATGTATCACTATAATATCCTAACTTCAATATTTTATGTTAAATACCAAGCGATGCTATAGTTGTATCATGTGGTTTTTCATTCCTAGTGTTTTGAGGAACTTCCTACTGATTTCCACAGTTACAATCTCTCCAAGGATGAGAATGTATCAATTTTATTCCACAATATCTCCAGCATTTATTATTGTTTGTATTCAAATGACTGCCATTCTAAACAAAGTGAGATGAAATGTAGTGTAGTTTTGATTTTCATTTCCCTATTTCCTAAAGATGGTAAATTTATCATTATATATATGTGTGTGTGTATTATATATCTGTATACATATATTTTTTCTCATTATATATGTATGTGTGTGTATATATATATATATATATATATATAGAGAGAGAGAGAGAGAGAGAGAGACATACATATATATGGTGAAATGTATTTCTTCTTTTAATAAGTGTTTACTTAATTCAATTCTTTATTAATTGGGTTATTTTTGATTATAAGATGCTGGAGTTCTTCATGCATACTGGATACTACTATTCTCTCAGAAAATTTATTCTCTTCCTATGGGTTATCCACATTTTTGTTTGCTTTGCCTTGCAGAAAATTCTGAATTTGATGTCATCCCATTTATTAATTCTTCAAGTTAGTTCTCAACCTTCAGGAATTCTCCTGACAAAATTGTTGCTTGCAACCATGTTGCAGTGTTGACTGTTTTCTCCTAGAAATTCATAACTTATCATCTAATTCATAGCCCTTTGATCCATGAATTGAATTTTGTGCAAGGTGAGGGACAGGGATTCAGTCTCATTCTTCTACAAATGGATAACAAGTTTTCCCAGCACATTTTTTTTTTTTTTAAATAAAGGCTGTTCTTTCTCTAATATATTTTTGGCACACTTATCCAGGATCAAATGACAATCTGTGTGGGTTTGTCTCTTTGAATTCTATTGTAATCCATTGTCTGTTTTTCTGATTGAACATGTTCATGTTTTAAGAATATAATATCCTCAAATTTCAGAGACTTATTTACAAAACTGTAAATTTAAGAACTATTATTCTTTAGTAGTTAGGTCTTTCAAACCTTAGGATTCATTTTCATATTAATAAATTACTTAAATGTGGATTAAATTAATCATGTGACCATATAGCATATTTAGTCAATCAACATAAATTTCTAATTGCTCATCCCCTAATGCAATTTCTGTTTACAGTACTCTGCCTCTGAACACATAGGAAGGAAGATAGTATATTATGCAGATTCCACAGTACGAGCAGTTAGAATTCAGGAATTGAACGTATCTTGCCTTCTGGGACACTGTTCCCCATTCCCTTAACCTCAGTGACCACACCAGGAAACTGAAAACACAAGGTCAAATATGTGAATAATATTCATGCCTTCCCTCCACCTACCCGCCAGATGTGAGAATGTCAACAATTTTCCTCCAATACCTCATCCCAATATTATTCTCAATTATCCTTTGGGGATTCATTGAAAATAAGAACAGAGACATTTACTCTAATGTGGCCTTAAGAGACAAATCCTTTAAAGACTCCATCCCATTGTACTGGACCCTGGTCCAGGGAGGGACATGGTCAATGGGTTCTCTCTCCATCTCTTTCCACTTCCCATTCTGCTGCCTCTTACTTTTGCCTTCCCACACTTCTCTGTCTCCAAGAGACAGACAGTTTGGCCTGTCATCTCATGGGATTGCTTTTCATTCTTCTACATCCACATTCTACATGTATTCTTGAGATTTACAACGAACAAAGAGGGGTGGGGAAGAACTGGGGAAGACCAACTGAAGAACATCCTGTACCTGATACCAGCGGATCATCACACTTGTTGAGCTGGAGGCATAGCACTTAGTATTCAAGGGTCTTGGTGATCCAGACCCTAATAACAACTTCATTTGTTATTAGGTTGCTAGAACAGCCCATTACCCATAACTACTCTTCTCTCTACATAAAGTGCTTCTGAAAATTTTGGGGTAGTTATTCATGCAAACTTGCAGGTTGCACAGGAAATATCTTCATCTGATCCCCGATAGTGGTCATGTTTTGTGTGGTTAAATGAAAGAGTTTAGCTTTCCAATAACCCACAATGGAAGCTACCAACTCAATCTTCAGGAAATGCACAAAATGCAGTGTCATTTTCTCCAAGGTCATCAAACCTTATTCTCATGAGAACTTTGCAATGCTGGTAGACAGCAGTGCTAAGGAAAACCCACACGCTGCCTAGGGATTTTGCCCTCAGAACACTTGAGGTAGTAGCCTCTCTCGTGTTTTCTTAGAAGCTAGCATCATTGTTTTCTCTTCCTTTACTAATCAGTACCTGGACCATGAGGCACCAAAGATGTGAACCCCATCACAAGCGCACAGTACAGTATCAAGGGAAGCAGCATCACAGAAAATAGAAAGACCACAACTACGGTCTGCACAATAAAACCTGCGAGGTAACTAGTGATATACTTAATTCATATTCTCTCTCTTCTTCCCAGCTGCCATGAGATAAGTAGGTCTACCCCGCTTCACCATTCCATCCCATGTTCTGCTTGACCTCGGGGCTAAAGCAAGGCAATCAGCCCATGATGGACTGAATGTTATAAAACCATGAGCCAAAATAAATCTTCCCTCCCTTCGGTTGAATTTTCTCTGGTATTTTCATCAGTGCAATGGAAATCTGACACAAAAATCAAACTGGAATTTATGAAAACTCTATCAGATTGCTGGTTCAGTTTCTCACCCTGTGCAATTGTTCTTCAAAGGACCTGAAAAAATTGAACATTTTCACACATTTCTTTGCTCCATTACCTTTCATGTATAGGAGGTAAATATCAGATATTTAGAGTGTTTCTTTTCCACTATGAGTGAAATGGCTTTTAAAGCAACTGGGAGCACTGATTTACCATATTTTTAATGTTCAGAGTTTCTATAGTGTGAATACTTTCATGTATTTGAAGATGACCAGGAAAGGTGAATGATTTGTGACAATTATTGCATTCAAAGGGCATTTCTACATTACCATTTATTTAATACTTATTAGGAGTAAGGAAAGAAGGTATTTCTGATTGTTTATACTAGTATAGTTTTGTTATATTAGTATAGCTTTGATCCTATGTGAGTTATTTCATGTCGTAACTGCCACAAATAAAGGCTTTTCTACATTGTTTATACTTGAAGGGCTTCTAACCAGCATTTGTTCTTGTATTTGAAGGTAGGAAGATCAATTGAAGGCTGTCACATATTGTTGACATTCATAAGGCTTCTATCCAGTGTGAATTTATGATTGGAATCTGATAAGAATACATGAAACCTTTCCTTCATTGCTTATATTTATAAGGTTTCTTTGTAGTATGTGTGCATTTATACACTTGAAGGTGAGTGGAAATCTTGAATGTTTTTCCAGATTGCTCACATTCATACAATCTCTCTCAAGTGTGTGTTCCCTAGTGTTTTTCAAAATGAATTGGAATAAGGAAATGTTGCACCACATTGTTTACATTCCTGAGGCCTCTTCCCAGTATGAGTTCATTCACAACATGAAAATAAGCACAATCAGTGAAGGATTTAACACACCATTTACATTCATAGGGTCGTCCCCTGTATAAATATTTTTATGTACACAAAGCCCAAAGGTATAAGTGAAGGCTTTCCCACATTGTTTACATCCATAAAGTTTTTCCCCAGTATGAGATTTTTCATATCTTTCATAATAAGTCAAACTAGTGAAGGCTTTACCAAGGTCATCAATTTATACTTATAGGGCCTTTCTCCACAGAGATAGTTCATGTATTCAAAGGAAAAGGGAAAAAAATGAAAATTTTACCATACTATTTACATTGATACGGCTTATCTCCAGTGTGAGGCTTTTCATGCACAGGAAGATAAGTGGAACAACTGAAGGCTTTACCAGATTGTTTACCCACATTGGCCTTCTTTCCTCTATGAGTTCGTTCATGTGAGTGAAGGTGACTGGACTGGGTAAAGGCTTTGCCACACTGCTTACAGTCATAGGGCTTCTCTCCAGTATGAGTCCTTTCATGTATTTTAAGGCAAGTAGAACTACTGTAGGCTTTTCCACATTGTTTACATTCATAGGGCTTTCTTCCTGTATGAGTTCGTTCATGTGCATGAAGGTCACTAGATGTAGCAAAGGCTTTCCCACATTGTTCACACTGATAGGGCTTCTCTCCAGTATGAGTTCGTTCATGCACTTTAAGGGGACTAGAAAAAGTGAAGGCTTTTCCACATTGTTTACATTTATAGGGCTTCTCTCCAGTATGAGTTCGTTCATGTATTTGAAGGTAAGAAAAACTACAGAGGGATTTCCCACATTGTTTACATTCATAGGGCTTCTTTACTGCATGAGTTCTTTTATGTATTTGAAGGTGACTGGACTGAGTGAAGGCTTTGCCACACTGCTTACATTCATAGGGCTTCAATCCAGTATGAGTTCTTTTATGTATCTGAAGGTAAGATGAAGTAGTGTAGGCTTTACCACATTGTTTACATTCATTGAGCTCTCCTGTATGAGTTCGTTTATGAATCTGAAGATAAGAAGAACTAGTGAAGGCTTTTCCACATTGTTTACATTCATATAGCTTCTTTCCTCTATGTGTTTGTTCTTGTGTGTATAGCTTAGAGGATATAAAAAAGGCTTTCCCACCTTGTTCACATGGATTAGGGTTCTCTCCAGCATAAGTTTGTTCATGTTTTTGAAGGGAACTGGAACAACTGAAGGCTTTTCCACATTGTTTACAACTCATAATCTCCTCATTATGAGATTCTTCACGTACTTTAAGATTAGCCACACTAATGAATGCATTTCCACATTGTTTACATCTGTAAGCCGTCTCTCCAGTGTGAGTTTGTACATGTAACTGAAGATAATTTGAAGTACTGAACGCTTTCCCACATTGCTTGCCTCCATATATCTTCTCTCTAGTATGAGATCGTCGAGATTTTTCAATACACCTGGAACAAATAAACTCTTTTCCACATGTCAAACATCCATACGATCCATTTACAGTGCACTCTGACACGTGTCTTTGAACATTTGTGAGAGAAATAAAGGATTTTTTGTTCTGTTTAAATTCATATGGCTTTCCTCCACACTCCTCATCCTCATGTGGTTTGTTTGCAGAGAGAGATATGATGTGCCTGTTTAGGAAAACATTATATATGAAGACCTGTACACACATACTGCTTTCACATGGAATTTCTAGCAGGAATGTCCTTTTAAGGCTAAGATTTGGAATCTCCCTGAAACATCTTTTTAAATTTTTCCAGAGCCTACCATAAGATTCCTGTTTGAAAAAAAAAAAAAAAAAAAAAAAAACAACTACAAGTACAATTTATGGTTGGCTAATTAACAATATTATATTATATTTATTTATAGGAATTGGACTTACACTAATATCAGGGAAAGTACTGGTTTTCTGTCATGTCTAAACTGTTTGAAAGTCAATATCATGACTACTTTGTGAGACTGCTTCTCCATAGCTACTATGAAAACAGTGGTATTATGAATGCAGTTTCTTAGCTCTGTCAAAAAAATAAATTATTTTGAAACCACTAAATGTGTATCTTACATTAAAGTTCATGTTTTGGGTTTAAAAAGAATAAATATAGTTCATACCATGCTTGCTTACTTTCCTTGTTTGTAAAATTATAGGATATGCTAGGATTCCTTCAGGGCTCTCTGTTTCCTCTCATGAGTACAAGTTACCTTAGATCTATCCCAGGATTTGTGTTCTGATCTTCAGCACTTTGGTTCTCCCATCTGAATCCTAAAACGTACACCCAGAACAGTGATTAAAATTATCATAATTTCAGAATGGATTATGGGATTTATAATATGGATAACTAAAACATAAAAATAATAAAAGAGGAAAAAAAAAGAATTATGGTATTTATGCTGCACAGTGCACTGACATTAGGCCCCATTTTTTCCTAAAAGTACTTACTCCCTTTTCCACCTTCTAAATCCATGAGTGGGTGGGTGGGGGGACTCCCGGGTGCTCTGTCTTTCAATATGTAATGAAACATCATCCTTACCTATAGAAGCCAGGTTTCTAAGGACTTCCTGCATCACATCTCTGTAGAGATTCTTTTGGGAAGGATCCAGCAAAGCCCACTCCTCCTGGGTGAAGTTCACAGCCACATCTTCAAAGAACACTGAGGTCTAAAATATCATCAAAAAATAAATAAATAAATAAAGTAGTGCAGCATATAAATGAAAAAAATAAAGGTCTATCAACAATTTTTAAAAATTTTTAAAAAGGGGGGGTGCTGGGGCTGGGGCTCAGCAGTAGTGCATTACCTGGTATGTGTGAGGCACTGGGTTCGATTCTCAGCACCACATATAAATAAATAAAATAAAGATCTATCAATAGTTAAAAATAATAATAATAAAAATGTAGTGCAGGCCATGAGAGACTGAAAACATAAGGGCTCTATTCTAGACACGTGAGATGTTCTCATAATTCTATGGTCTCCAAGTATTTAGTCCATATTTGTACTCAGGGCTGGGACTGTAGCTCAGAGACAGAGTACTTGCCTAGCATTTGTGAGGTACTGGGTTCAAACCTTAGCACGGCACAAAAATAAACACATAAAATAAGGCATGCTATCTGTCTTCAACCAAAAAAAAAACAAAACTGCTTTCTGTCTACACTCACTTCCTCAAAGAGAGGCATTCCAATATAAGATCTAAACTGATCCATAAAAGTATCAGCAGAGCAAAAACACCCTTCTCATTGTGGGGCAAAGGTATAATAAGGTATGCTCCAAGAACACCCCTAACATCTTAATAGGGTGCATGTCTAACACCACCAGTAATAATGAAGCCCTACTATCTCATGTTGGAAGAGAGGTAGTATTAGTCCTGATAGTGTCTATGCTTACAAAAGGTTGCTGACAAAGTTGCATCTTTGCTGGATAGGGGAACTAAAAATTGGGGAAGGATCCCAGCAAACTGAATCTTTACTTTCCTTTGGAAATTCTATTATTTTGTTCCACTCTTATGTTAGAACCTAAAGAATCAAAGTCCTTCCCACCAAAACAGAACCCTCTGAGCAAAGAATCTAGGAACTGCCCTAGTAGACCACATTTCATCCAGGTACTCACAACATGGTAACTGGGGATTGAGCTCATCCTGTGTGACTACAGCAAAAGAATAAGTAGAATTTGTAGGTACTTTACTCAACATCAAATTTAACCAACTAGTAAGCAACAACAGTGATCAATAAACAATTTGATAATTTCTTCTGATTAATATCAAGATACAGTTGGATAAGTGTCAAATACCTTTACTGACATTTAACAAACAGAATTTCTAGTAATCACCAGAAAGTACTTTTCCAAGCCAAATGAAAATAAGAAATGTGTAACACCTATCCAACTGTGGTAGACAGCAGACTATTGGCTTTTCCAATATATAGTCATGTGCCACATGACTATGTTTTGGTCAAAGACATTTGGGGTTAATAATGGGCTACATATACATGGTTATCAGGAGTAAAGGGATAACTGATGTGTTTATAGTGATGGTGGTACAAACAAACATACTGCATGATCACCTTTGGTATCTTGTAACGAAAGATGTTGTGCAAGGCTGTACCTGGGAAGCATCGTCTCCACAGAGCCTAGGTCTGTAATAGGCTATTCCTTCTAGGACTGTGTAAACACACTTTGGTGTTTGTGCAATGGTGAGAAAGAAAATGAATTTTTAAGTTGATAATTTCTTCTGATTAATTATCTAATTATCTCTCTGCTAATCTTATGCTATTTCCAATAGTATATCTTAGATGTTCTTTATTTATAGTCTGGTGTCACTTAAACATTGTGACTATAAATAAAGAACATCTAAGATACACTATTGGAAACAGCATAGAATTACCAGAGCAATAAACAGAGAGAACAAAAGAAAAAAAAATCAGTGCCTTGGAATTCATATAGATGAGTAATAACATAACAGGTAAGGTATACAAGTGGAGACATTCACAAGCAATTCAGAAGATGAGTCAAGACAAACTGGTATCTAATTTTTAAAAAATGCATTACTTCCCTCCATTCCATAGACAAAATATAAATTCATTACAGATTCTGATGTGAAATACAAAACTAAAACACTTTCAGAAGCTTACAGGAAATATTTTCCTAGAGGAATAGGGAAAACATTTTCACATAACAAGAGTAAGCAATAATGAAGAATGATAAATTCAAACATTAAAATTAGAGGAATAAAAAGATGAAAACACCTGCAAGAGAGGAGACACCTGCAATATGCAACACAGAGAGTTAGGGTGCCGAGCAAGCGGCTCAGGGGGCTGAGGCAGGACAATCAAATGCAGGATCAAAGCCAGCCTCAGCAACGTAGGAAAGCCCCGAGCAAATGGGCAACAACCTGGCTCTAAATAAAATATTAGAAGAAGCTGGGGATGTGGCTCAGTGGTTAAGCGCCCCTAAGTTCAAACCCTGGTACAGAGAGAAAGAGAGACAGACAGAGAGAGAGAGAGACAGAGAGAGAGACAGGGACACGGAGAGATGGAGCACGTGCACACACACACACAGAGAGACAGACATACAGATACAGAGACACGGAGAGATGGAGCACGTGCACACACACACCAGGGCCCAGAGTGAGAATAATCAACATATGACTCAAATGGGAAATAGCCAGACTTGGGACAGAAGGTGAAAGCTGCCTATGGAGAAAGGACCACCTCTGGGTGAAGAGAAGCCCAGGAGAAGGCCAAGCAGATGAGCACTGTCACCCACTGCAGACCCAGCGCCCCTCAGTCAGGATGTGGGTAGTGGGGAGAGCGGGACGGCTGCCCCTCTAGTGGTATTTCCTCACACCTGAAATTTACCATGACCTGCAGCCCAGAGACTTTTTCTGTGTATTCTTAGGGGTCCTCACAAATTCACAACATCTTACCTCCTGAACTGCTGCCAGGCTCACACAGTCAAGATCACAAAAAACTGCCCTTTGCTGCCAGCGCAGGGAGGAAAAGGAGCCATTTCCAGCACACCCAGAGAACTCTATCTTCCTGAGCCTACATTCAAAGGAAACTACTTCTCCAAGGCTGAGTCACCCAAGACATTATCAGCAAAAACTTGTGGGGAAAAAGAAACACTGAGCCCAGCTCCCCCTAATCTTCCTGCCTAGGTCAGGGAGGAGGAAGGGCTGAGGCTCTTAGAAACAAAGCCATGAAATGATCTCGTAAGTAGAAAATTCTAAACTGTGCATGCGCTGAAGAAGAAAACGCAAATGCCTGGAACTAAAAAATAAAGCCAAGCTGTACACCACCACAATAAACACAACACACTTACATCCACTAAAACACGAGCAACCTGAAAGCCATCACAGAAGATCAAGAGTAAAAGTATTTAGAAATTACCAAGAAGACTTTACAAAAACCACAAAATACTTCTGAAAGAAATGACACACATAAAAATATCTAGCATTTGTGAGCTCAAAGAATTGTAAATCTGCCTAAAAATCAACCATGAGGTCAATTCACTGCCTTTCATAGTATCAATGACATTTTTATACAAAATAAGAAGTACTATTCTAAGATTCACGTGGAATTGAAAGAAACTCAACAATGGAAGAAGAAAAATAAAGTGTAAAGTGATTTCAAAACCTGCTTTAAAGGAGTAACAAAGGGAGTGTAGAACTAGTTTAAAGGCAGACACACAGAGCAGTGAAGGAGGACAGGGGGACCCAGGACCATGCAGATACACAGAAGGAAATGATGTCTCTCAAGGGGCCAGGGTCATTCCAGGGGACCAGGATCTCTGGAGAATGAATGGCTGGGAAACTGGATGTTCATGGCAGCACCTAAAGTCAGATGCTCCCCTCACATCACACGCATACATGAGATCCATGGGGACCAAAGTGCTGAAGTAAGATGTGAACCTCACCAATTCTTAGAAGAAAATGCAGACCACATGTCTCACAACACTGGATTTGGGGATGATTTCTGGGATATAGTAGCATCCATTTGATTCATGAAAATAATAGATAAACCTAATTTTACCAAAAATAGCTTTTAGTCCTTTCATTTGCAGCAACGAAGCCCGGACTATTGAATACTATCTTAAGTGAAATAAGCCAGGAAAAGAGAGAGAGACACCGACTGTGTGTTCTTATACAGCAAAGCTCCAAGTTGGCTTCACAGAAAGTACAAGGGTATTCACCAGAGATGAGGAGGAGAGAAGAGAGGGGACAGCAGGGCTGGGTGAGGAGGCTGGGTATCAGGTACCAGAGTCCATTCAGGAGGAGCCAGCACTTCTGCTCTCCAGCAGAGTAGGTGGCCATAGTGTACAACATGTCACTGTGGTTTTCATAATAAAGCTGGGGAGCAGTCCACTGACCCTAAGAAATGATAAATGTTAGGAATGATGCAATGAAACAGGTGTACAACCAGCTCACTGCACCTCATCCACATGTGCAACTTAAAAGTGAATCAGCATTAGAAAGGAAAATGTTGTCCTTCATAGGACACCGTCAGCAAGTGAAATGGCACTGGAAGGAATTGTAGAAAATACCTGCACATTGTGCATCTGGAAAGGAGCTGAAAACTTGAAAGAATGAAGAAAAACCAGCTGACAAAGCTCAACTCCTTCTGACATAAGGATGCAAACCTAACTGTAATAAAATGAAACACCTTAAAAAGTACCAGAGATCTACAAAACCTACACTGAAGGCTACAAAGAAGGATGAAAGGCTGTCTCCATGACAACAAAAACAAGTCAAGGATGCCTGCTCTCACCACTTCCAGACAACACAGCAAGAGGAGTGCTATGGGAAGCCAGGAAAAAAATCTTTGTGTTCCAGACTTCAGCCAACTTACGTAGCCCCAGACAGTGGGACAAAATCAAGGACTTCACCAAGCAGATGGAGGTGGGCATAGGCAACTCAGACTCAGACTATCACCTGCAGAGAGAGCAGCCACAGGCACCAAGATGGGAGGAAGACAGTACAACCTCTGCACCCTTTACTGAGGTTCTCCCCATCAACACTGACCACCTGACACAGTGCACATCTCATTTGCATTCCTGCGTCCTAGAGTGTCTACAGCAAGTGGACAAGGATATCGGATGGGGTTTTTTCAGATGCTGCTCCGACCAGAAAATCGGCTACATTGGTGTAGATGGATACCTCATAAATCCCAG